GAGGGAGGTAAGGGAGGGGAAGAGGGAAGAAAAGGGTAGGTGAAAAGTAGAGGAAGGAGTATAGGAGAATAGAGGAAGTGGTAAGGTATAAGGCAGGATAAGGTAGGGAAGAGAAAGAGAACTGGGGATAGAAGAGAAGTAGAGGAAAGGATGGGGGAGAAGAACAGCAAGATTGGAGAATGGGGTGAGGGGAGAGGGGAGAAGAGAAGAGAAAACGACCGCTGAGAGATAAGGGAAAGGATGAAGGACCACGAGGAGGAGGAGGAGGAGGATGAGGAAGAAGAGGAAGAGGACGATGACAGGAGAAAAGACCGATTAGATATCCCAATACTCATCCTACACACGTCTCGTTAGAAGTTATTTTCTACCTATCTCTGCGACCCATTAATTCCCTCGTCGACACGGCTGACAGTGAAGAAATAGATCGCAAAATAACACTGCTGACGTAAACTTGTTATAAAGATAGTGAAGGTCTTTAACAACTAATCCATATCGATAATTAGGACTCGGTAATAGACCTCGTAGGACAAATGAAGAGGCGTTAAGAAAATGTCCTAAAAATGGGACAATTTTCGTATCGACATTTTCGTGTGTGTGTGTTTTTTTGTCCTCTTCTTCTTTTTCTTCTTCTTTCAATGTTGTAATTACGTATAATTGTAGCCAAGATGACACATTGCTTCTTGGTAAAAGGGTAGCCATTTGTTATGTTGAGAGGGAGGAAGATATTGAAAATCTTTAAAGAACACTTACCAACACTCCATCAAAATTACAGTCATTAATATTTCATTATAAATGTTTGGTAACAATTTCCTGACAGCTTCAAGGTTGTTGTCACCTCCTTTGTCACTCACTTCGGATGACAGTTAATACTTAAAGCTTAGTCATTGTTCTCTTGTTTTGAGTTTTACTACTGCCACTATTATAACAATAACTGCAAAAACAACAAGGAAGACAATATATATCATAACACATGAGTTATATGTAACATCAGCTTTCGGTTCACAATTACACTACTTAATTTTTGTTTATGCTATTATTTGAATGTACAGATATCATCTTCACTTTCATTATCATTATCTCTATTGCAACCCTTATCAACAATTTCATTGTGATTATTTTGTTATCAGTTATTCTCATTAGCGCTATTGCTACTATTATTGTTGTCATTACTGTTATTGTTATCGTCATTGTTATTATCATTGTTATTGTTATCGTCATTGTTATTGTCATTGTTATTGTTATCGTCATCATCATCATCAATATTGCAATCATTATTACTATTATTCTCACTATTATTATTATTATTTTATTACTGTCATTATTAGTGTTGTTATTGATGTTACTACAATCATCCTCATTATAAGGATAATCACTATGCTCATTATAATAATAATAATAATAATAATTATTATTATTATTATCATTATTATTGCTGTTATTATTATCATTATAATCATTATTGTTATTGTCATTGTTATTATCACTATTGTTGTTATTATCATTATTATTATTATAATTATATTTTTTATAGTGATTATTATTTTTATCATGATTATTGTCATTATTGTTATATCTATTATTATCCTCAGAATTATCATTTGAATTATCATCACTGTTATTGTTGTTATCATTATTGTTATTTTTCTATGATTTATTATCATTATAATGATAATAATAATAATAATAATAATAATAATAATTATTATTATTATTATTATCATTATCATTACAATTATCATTATTGTTATCATTATTATTATTGTTATTACTATTATCATTATTGCTATTAGTATTACTAGCATTGTTATTGTCATCATCATTATTATTGTTATTATTATCATTATTATTATTATCCTTATTATTATTATTATTATTATTATTATTATTATCATTATTATTATTATTATTATTATTATTATTATTATTACTATTATTATTATTATCATTATTATAATTATTATTATTATTATTATTATTATTATTATTATTATTATTATCATTATAATAATTATTATTATTATTACTATTATTATTTTTATTATTATTATTATATTCATTATTATTGTTATTATCATAGTTACTACTACTGTCGTTATAATTGTTATTATTATTATTATTATCATTATTGTTATCATCATTATCACCATTATTATTATTATTATCATGATTATTACTTTTATAATCTATGTTCTTCTTATCATGACCATTATCATCGTCGTTTTTTTATCAATGCTATTGTTACCATCAGCATTATTATATTATTTCATATCATAATATATCATATCATATTATATTGTAGCATATCACATATCATTTTATATTGTAATATATCACATATCATCTTCTATCGTAACATATCATATCATATAATTTTACATTGTAACGTATCATATATTCTATCATATTGTCTTACTGTTATATGCCTCTCCCCTCTCACTCGGTCCATTACAGGTGAACTATCCCCTAACCTCATTACAATAGACAAGCAATTAATTTCTAGGTGACTATAACACAAAGCCAGGATGTGTAGTTACGTTGTTGATAACTATAATTTCGTGGCGGTTGTTACTCGGTGCACTGACCTTCCTCTCCATTCTCTACCTTCTCCTGTGTTCTTTTTTTCCATCGTCTTCCTCATATTCTTCTTACTTCTTCTTCCTCTTCTTTGAATCTCTTATCTGTTGTCTTTTTCCTCTTCCTTTTTCTTCTGCTTTCTTTTCCTCTTTTGTACCCATGATGGGGTTCCACCGGCCGCCACTTTTTTTTTTCCTTCCTCATTTCTTTGTTATTCTTTCATATCCTTCTTCTTCTACTCTTTTTTTCTCTCTTCCTCCATCCCCTCCCCTCCCTTTTCTCTGCTCCTTTCCTTCCCCTCGCTCTTCCTCTTTCCTCTCTTTCTTCTTGCTTATTATTATTTTTCATTATTATTTGCTCTTATTTATATTTTATTATCATTATTATTTATCCTTATTATTATCTATTGATTATTATTATTATTATTACCCTCTTTCTTCTTCCTTATTATAATCATTATTATCAGCCTCTATCCCTCTCTCTATTTCTCCTTACTACTTCTCTTTTCCTCTTCTCCTCCGCCCTCCATTCTTCCACTTTTCTACTCCTACCTCTGCCTCTTCTCCCCCTCCCTCTCCCCTTTCTACTTCTCTTCCTCCTACTTCTTCCCATTCTTCTTTACCCACTTTTTCTCTTCCTCCTCCTATTTCTCTTCCTCCTCCTCCTTTCTTTCCCCGCCTTCCTTTTCTCCATTCTTCAAAGAACTTTAAATAGCCATTTCGCACAAAATAGCTTTCAATTACACCGCCATCTATCGTATACCTTAATAGCAATAGTTACTGGATAGAAGCACTGTGTTGCATTTCACCTTCCGTTCTTTTTAATAGCTCCGGGTTAAAGGTAAGTTTGATAATACGAATCATTTCAGTTTTTGTATCAGGTAGACAATTAATGGCCTAATTCTGTACATTGCCAAGTTTATATAGATACAAAAATATAAAAGATGAATGGATAAAATATGCAGATAGACAAATATTGACATGTATGCAACCTCAGGTTATTCACATGCATCACAATCATGGACACACAAATACTTACAGTTTGAGATACTGATATATGTTCATAAAGTTTTTAATCTTTGAACAAATGTTTGTTTTTTATTTATTGGTTTTGTGTGTTTTTCTTCTCTTCTTCACTCTTTCATTTTTGTTCTCTTTTCTTTATGAGTTTAGATATTTCCCTTTGATTTCTTTATTCATCTTTCAGTTATCTTATCACGTACATTCATGCACTGCTGTCTCTTGTATTATATTCCCTTAATAAAAGCAACACTGAACACACAGGGACAGACTATTTTACCTTTTCTCCTTCTACTTTTTCTCTATTTTATTTGTTTATTTATCTCTTTGTCTGTTTACCTATTCTTCCATTATTTTGTTTTCATTCAACTCTTTATCAATTTATTTATCAACGAACAAGAACGTGTACATGTTCGCGTGATAGATTATTACGGCATGAGACTCAGAGCTTCAGAACAAAGGGTGACTGAAATGCGGGTTGTCTATCCGTAGAGTTATTACGGTCTGAACATCATGTATTGATTTTTTTTTTTGTTTTTGTTTCATTCCATAACAATTTAGCTACTCATTGACATGTTTGTTATAGACAACGGATATAAACAATTATACACACGGAAATTTCCTTGTACAAACCTTTAAGCACGAAATAACCATTCAGCTTGTGTCAAAGTGTTTTGTCTCTAAACGTGTTTTTTTCTATCTCATTTCTCATTTCTTTTCTATTTTGTATCCTTTATCTAATTCTCTCTCACATCTCTCTCATCTCTCTCTCTCTCTCTCTCTCTCTCTCTCTCTCTCTCTCTCTCTCTGTGTGTGTGTGTGTGTGTGTGTGTGTGTGCGTGTTTATCCCTTTATCTATATCTCTATGTAATTGCTTGTTGGTTTTCTATAAATATACCCATCCATGCACAGTTCAATAAACTCTTCTAGCATAAACTATTAAACGCCTGTTCATTTAGCATGGGCATCTATATATAAGAGAACTTACGCAGAAAATTATATATCCGAAGTTGCAAGTAAGATAAATTTACTTTTTATATAGGAATATATGTACTTCTGAAATCAAATGTGACATAGACTAACAGCTAAATAGGAGTATATGAGTTTCAGAAAAGCAATTGATATTTAATGCAGAAGTCATAAAAATAAAGGACTTTAATAACGGGCTTGACAAGGTTAGTATACCTGCAGGTGACATAAACTGACCTTTTATGTAGGAATACATATATTTACGAAACTACAAGGAACATAAACTTACCTATTTATGTAGGAGAATATATGTTTCCTAAACTGCAACTGACATAGACTTTTGTTGTAGAAATATACGTACTTCCGAAACTGCATTTGACATAGACTTTTGATGGAGAAATATACGTACTTCCGAATCTACATTTGACATAGACTAACCTTTTATGTATGAGCACGGAATTATGGAGGCTAAGATAGGGTGACCTTGCATCTCGATGGACCTGACCCCTTGACAGTCGTCTAGGCTTCTCGCCAAGCGGTTGCCCATCATTATGCTGAAAGATATGTTATAGATAAGATTAATGATTAAATGTGATATTAATGAATTAGGAAATAATTAGATGAATAAAAACATAAAGCATGGAAGTAAAGTATCATCATTTCTATAATCAAATATTTCATCAGATTTTTCCTGCTGAATATATAGGACTTTACTTCAGCATTGACTAGAAAAAAAATCGACATTCGACATCCCATAACAAAGACATTATGACGTCATAAAGCTGTGACGTCACTATCCCAACCTTGCTTGCTCTCTGTTGTGTAAAATAAATTGGATATACATAGGTAGCAGATGTTATTGACAAGGGACCTTTCATCAACTGGCAGTAAAAATGGACTAGGTACTTTTGGTTCAACTTTGCCTCCATTTTAGATAATCACTCTATCGTAATTCTTATTATTCTTGTTTGGCACTCTGCTATTTCTTTTTCTAACTCGCTTTTATGTGTGTGATTTCTCAATGACAGGATTAACGCCAAATAATTTTGTCTTGTAATAATTGTGTGTGTGTGTGCAGGTAGCCGAATCGTTTATATCAATTAACATCAAATAAGGCAGTGATCGAGAGAGAGAGAGAGAGAGAGAGAGAGAGAGAGAGAGAGAGAGAGAGAGAGAGAGAGAGAGAGAGAGAGAGAAGAGAGAGAGAGAGAGAGAGAGAGAGAGAGAGAGAGAGAGAGAGAGAGAGAGAGAGAGAGAGAGAGAGAGAGAAGAGAGAGAGAGAGAGAGAGAGAGAGAGAGAGAGAGAGAGAGAGAGAGAGAGAGAGAGAGAGAGAGAGAGAGAGAGAGAGGAGAGAAGAGAGAGAGAGGAGAGAGAGAGAGAGAGAGAGAGAGAGAGAGAGAGAGAAAGGGGGGGGGGAAGCAAGAAAAGAAAGGGGGGAGGGAAAGAGAAAGAGAGAGAGAGAGAAGGGGGGAGGGAGAGAGAGAGAAGAGAGAGAGAGAGAGAGAGAGAGAGAGAGAGAGAGAGAGAGAGAGAGAGAGATAGAGAGATAGATAGATAGATAGATAGAGAGAGAGAGAGAGAGAGAAAGGGGGGTAGAGAGAAAATATGAAAGATTAGGACAGACCGACAAACAGCCTTAGATAGATAAAAACAACACCTAATTGCAGAACGAGACGGATAACTGCCCTAAAAATACCTCCAACACGAACGCCATTTTCGCATTAAAAGGCTGACGCAAAGATCTCTCTCTCCCTGGGGCATAAGCAGCTCACGTGACACGCTTCTACTGTGAGATTCGTTTGATAACAAGATAAGGGAAAGAGAAAAGTTGCAAGGAAGCTCTCGCATCATCACTCTCCGTTGCTTATCTTAGAGAGAAGTGTGTGGGGGTATTTTTTTTCTTTATCTTTAATTGTTTCTCAGCAGTGAGTCAAGAAGAATAAGGATTACTCTGAGGACACTCGAGTCTTCTGCAAAGAGACAAGACGAATGAAACTTTTCTTGGAGGGGTCTTGAGTCCAGCGAAGCAAGATGGATGGCAACTAATTTCACCAAGATAGGAGATAAGGGACTCTAGTGAGCTAAGGCAGACGGCACGCAATTCCAGCGAGGCAAGACATGGTTATTATTATCTCTCTCAAGACTGGAAACGATTTCAATGAGTCATGAGAAATGACAACCAACTTTAGTGAGTCAAGTTGGGAGATAACTAACCCTAGGAAATAAAAACAGATGAACAGATATATATATATATATATATATATATATATATATATATATATATATATATATATATATATATATAAAGACTCATGGAAAAATAATACTAGCTTTAATGATAAAAAAATGAACAACAACCAACGTCGGTGAGTCAAGACAAAATGCTTCAACCCCATGAGTCAAAACACGTAACACTCAACGAATAATAACAAAAGACACCCAACAAGAACTCAGATCAAACAACACTCACAGCCAACGAGTCAAAACAGAAGACACCCAACCCCGAGAGTCAAGAAAAAAACAACAACAACACTCAGCTCCATTCGAGTCGAAACAGAAAACATCCACACCAAACGAGTCCAAAGAGTCACCCCAATGAGTAAACCGAAAGACACCCAAACCCTTGAGAAAAAACAGTCACCTGAGTCAAGCCAAAAAACACACTCACACCCCAACGCACCAATACAAAAATACACCCACACATTATACCTGAGCAAGAAGACTCCTGTCAGATAGCGTAGCATCCCTCGCCTCTGCAGCAGGTCCGACAGGCAGGCAGGCAAGCAAACAGGCAGGCAAGCAGGCTATCTGTATGTATGTAAGTCCTTCCTTCCCAGCGTCGATGAGTGAGAGCCAGCGAGTCGAAGGGACAAGAGAAAGTCACTAAAAGAATCTTTTTAACTTGCGCGCTTTCCAGTCTGATCCCATGGCCACCTGTAGGATAGAAAGAATAGGAGATGATGTTGGTTAAAGTCATCAGTGAAAAAGGATGGTGATGAATATAGGTATAGTGGCAATGATAGATATAACTAAGGGAATAATGGTAATGGTGAGGATCATAATGGCAAAGATGATGATAACAAAATAATGACATGTTCGTTTGTATGTGTGTATGTGTATGAGTGTGTGTGTGTGTGTGTGTGTGTGTGTGTGTGTGTGTGTGTGTGTGTGTCTGTGTGTGTGTGTGTGTGTGTGTACACTGACTACAAAATGCTGATATGATTTGTGTCTCAGATACTTTAAGCCTCCACAAACTCGGCGTAAAAGCGATTAGAGATTACCGAAAGGTCAAGGTGGTAATAGTATAATTTGAGGATAATTTTAGTACAGAGTGGATGAATTCGTTGCGTTTATTTATAGGAAGAAAGAGGGGCATAGAGAACGAGGGATGATGAAAGAGAGAAAATGAGAAAATGAAGGAAGAGGGAGAAGGGAATACGAAAGAGAGTGAAGAGAAGAGGGTAGAAAGGAAAAGAGAGAGAAAAAACTGTTCGAACGAGAGAGAGAGAGAGAGAGGTAAAGAGACACTCAACAGGTAATATATCTTTCTACCCTTCTACCTGACCTATGACAAAAACAAAAAACAAAACAAAACAAAACTAAACAAACAAAAAAACAACAACACGGTGATAAAAACATATTTCTTCATGGAGAAGGTAAAGAAAAAAATGCATCATCACACACACGATGTTTTATTTGACGTTTCAGCGTATAAAAAAGGAAAGAGAGAGAGAGAAAAAAAGTGGTACTAACTGCTAGCCATATAAAAGGTCTCTCATCATGCGATCTTCTTAATCGTTGTCATGCCACGATGAAGGTACAAATAGGAAGGATAACTAGCCTAGCTGACTAGTAACATGTTTATGTTTTAGACTAATTGTATGTGTGTGTGTGTGTGTGTGTGTGTGTGTGTGTGTGTGTGTGTGTGTGTGTGTGTGTGTGTGTGTGTCGGTCTGTTGGTTTATCTCTCTCTCTCTCTCTCTCTCTCTATCTCTCTCTCTCTCCTTTTCTCTTTCTCTCTCTCTCTCTCTCTCTCTCTCTCTCTCTCTCTCTCTCTCTCTCTCTCTCTCTCTCTCTCTCTCTCACACTAACACACACGCACACACATACACACACACCCGTATACACACACGTAAAAACGAAAGAAAGGAATGAGGTGGCAGCAATCTGTCTCCCCCGGACTAAAAGAAAAGAAAAAAATACAATTATATACCTGTAGACCATAATTATTATACGAAGCTTGTAAACTGACTCTTTTTTTTCTTTCTTTCTTTCTTCGATGTCTTTCACACTAGAAGATACAGTCAAATTAACATTCCTAAGCTTCAATTCATGTTAACATATGTGTTATATACCTAAATATATGTATCTTAATTATAGGATATCTGATCTACGTAGATTGATAGTTCTGGGTTTGTAAATAAAGTAATTATGTATAGATCTAACGTAAATAATTTGGAAGCGTGGAATTTTTTGATTAGGTAGACACACTGCAGGTGTTTGAACAGGTAGATGTAAACAAGAAATACGCGGAAAAAAAGGTAATTAAGGTTAGTGCAAGACATAGTTGATTAATTGCAATAGATGATGAGGATAAATGAGGACAGATCACAACATATGTTGTTTTGGAAGGAAAATACGGCATATATTGTTTAGTTAGGGAAATACGATATATGGTGTTTAGGTAGGAAAATAAGGAATATGTTGTTTAATAGTTGTGGGAAAATACGAAATGGCGTTTAGGTAGGGAAATACGACATATGTTAAGTAGTGATAGGGAAATACGAGAAATAATGTTTCGGTAAGAAAAGAATACATGTTGTTTAGCAGTGGTAGGACATATGTTGTTGAGTAGTTGTTGGATTATGGCCATAACGAGGTATAACAACACAGTTCGAAGGTGAAATGAGAGGGGAGAGTGCGTGTATGTGTATCTTTGTGTGTGTGTGTGTTTGCGTGTACGTTTCTTGTCTGCGTGTGTGTGCTTGTGTGTTTGTCTGTATGTGTGCTTACATGCCTGTATTTGTTTGTATATGTGTGTGTTTCAGTGTGTGTTTGTATATTTGTATACTTGTGGTTACGTGTCGCTGAGCTGATTTTTGCATATGTTTTGACAGACCCCTGCCGTATTTTTAGCAACATCATTAGTGTCAGTATTACATTAGTTATTCTACGTTGTTTTTGCACCTCAGACGAAAAAATAAGTTCTGCCTTGTTTTAGAAGACTGATACAATATTATCCTCATTATTTTTTTCTCTGTTGTTTAGCTTCTATCATTGTCTTTTATTTGCATCCTTTATCTATCATTTTCTTATATATGCCAATCAAGATTAAATGAATGGCATCTTATTTCTATTATTATATTATATATTTTTTGCTTTATCACTATTTTTCGTATTTTCTTCTTTCTTGTATAACTGTCGTGCTATCATTTTTCTATGATTATCAATTGCTTCTTTATTACTAGTTTTATTATTCTTTTCTCGCCCTCTTTTCAGTGCGGTTAGTCAAAGAGAGTATTTTCAATGGTTTAAACGATGATGGTATT